CTGTGTTTTAGAGGTTTAGAGGTTTCAGTCAGAGCTTTATGGATGGCCTGGAGTGCTCACCAGACAAATGAATGACACATGAAGATGTCTTCGAGTTTTTCAAAAGTATTCATTAAATCGGAATAACTTTTATGCGCTATTATGAATAAATTTTTTCAGTGTTCTCATACCGAGTGTCATTCCCGACTTGTTTTCATCCTAGTGAAAATTTTAATATCTAGTAACGTGGAATTAATAACTTCCCGGGCTTTTACGATACTTTTGTAGCTTATAATACCGAGGTGGTTATATGTAAGTAATATGTAAGCTGTTAATCGGTTTATCTGTGGTGTTTTTCAGCAACACGCCTCTTATCCCTGGAAATATTAATATTAAAAATACGCAGAAAATACGCAACTAATAATTTATAAAATAGATTATCTCTAGAAAAAGGAAAAATACAAATTCATTTTAAATATCAAACAAGATTTGAGCTTTAATTTTCGAGCTTTAACGCTTTAATCCTTTGCACTCGAGAGGCGCCTCTCAATCGCCATTTAATCAGATTCTAAAGATGGACGTTAATTAATATATCAAATTTGCAATTACCCAACGATGCGTGGAATATCGAAGTAAAATAATTCTACGGCTTAAACCGCATACGATTTGTTATTTACAGCTTTAAAAATATCGTCTACCTTATGGCAGAAAGTCTGCGAATTACTACTTTCCTGTAACGAAAAATCGCCGAGTGCAGAGTTAAAATTTTATTTAATTTTGAAATTAAGAAAAATAAAATTTTTGTTAATTTAGGAGTTAATCACTTTGACCCGTGAATGAATCATACGTGAAATAATTTTTATCCTCCTATATAAAAATGAAAAGTAGAAAATAGAGAATTAAAAATCCCAATCACAAAGTATACTTACGGAATAACAAATTCCACACAAATTTCAATGTATAAACCCACTTAATCCCCTATACAGAATTCACTAGGACGTCCATTGGGCGAGACATTCCAGGCTATACCATTCTCGTAATCGCCCGTGACGAATCTTTTTTTAAAACAGCTTGTATCATCGGGAAAAGGCTGCAGTTTGAATTATTGAAGGTTCGAAGCCCGAAATCGGAGTCGTATATACGAACAAGCAGGAATACAAATAAATCGTGGCCTGTATTTCACGCTGATTTATAAGTCAGAAGCGAGACGCGTCGCTGGAAGAGGAAGAAGAGCAAGGAGAAGAACAGCCAAGGGAAGAAAGCGAGGAAGCAAAGTAAATATATACCACGGGACGGATAACGCGAGAAGTTTGAAGGCGAAACCTTTCGTTGAAACACACGTGCACCGTATACTCCACTGTCAACAGGGACTTTAATATTTGAACCGAAAATTTGGTACACCGAAACAGTATCCGAAAGACCTCGTTTCTTCAAGGAATCACGTATGCTTAGAGGACCAAACATTGCACGAATTTTTGGCTATCTTCTGACACAACTGAATACAATTTTCATGAATCCAAATTTAACTTTCTGAATTTATGACTGAAATTTTTATCATACAATAATAAGAAAATAAATTCTACATATTAATTAACATAAAAATAAATATCTTAATTTCTATTTAAGTATCCACGATTTTTACTGCTATATGTTCAGTGGCTTTTCAAAATAACTGTAAATAATTTCATTCCATGATTAATCTGTGTATCAATCTTATTAATATTCCATTAAATAAAACTTGATTTCCTTTTTAATATCAAATGAAAAATGAGAAAACTAGAATTTTTGAAAATTATGAGATACAGTATTATTTCTCACAAGCACAGATACATGCTACACCATCACTGCCAAGAAAATACTTAAAATTATCTACCTTATCAGCCACTGTGGATAAAATCAAACACTCCACGATCTAAAATAGCAATCAGAAGATAATATCGGGAAAACAACATTTTCACGCTTTTCATAACACAGCAGATTTTCCGCAGTACAACTGATCCTCTGATATTCCGAAAACACATCATATCCGGAGCAAGCCTCGCGCAAGTCTAGTTCCCGTCTGAGCCAATTTAAAATCGCGTCAATTTCACGCGAAATGACGGTCATTTGATGTTCCTGGCGACGGATTCGCTCACCACGAGGAGGTCAACGCGACCTTCGGATTTCCCAGCCACTGATTTCCCATCGCACGATTTTTGCTCCGATTTTCGCTTCCTGTAACGCGATTCATCGGGCTGGCCAATCGTGCCAACAGGTGATCCCTCCGAGGCAGCAAAAAGCTCGTCAGGGATTCAGAGAGCGTTAACAGAGACGAATACCTTGCAAAGCGCACGCGAGCAGACGATATAGGAAACTTAGAGCAGAGCTTGATTCAATCTCATTAGACTTTATGATCTTATCAAGGCGATTGGAAATGACAGGCTTTGTCACAGACTGTTACATCACGATCTACGCTTCCTAGATCCGTTACAATTCCCTCGATTAGGATTGCCTGTTTCGAATAGTTTTCATTCGTTGTTCTACGCGTGGATCGTGCACGGATGCCACCTTGGAGGAAAGAAAAAAGGAAAAATATTCGTCGGATGAAGAATCGCGATGGCGTGGATAATAGCAGGTAGAATGTTAGATTGATCGATGGTGTGACAGCGTTCTGCACATTTTTTCCTTCTTTTTGCTCTTTGTCTTGCTTTCGTAAATTTATGACCGGTGAATAGCTTTACCGTATCGTTGCCTATTTTTCCTTTTTCTTTTTTCCCATCTTAATTGTTAATTCTTGCGATACTACGCGATATCGTGTGACGATAGTTGCCAGTACCGGTGCTGAGGTATTATGCACTGTGAATGTAACAGGGAAGTTACGTGACGTGTGGAGAGATTGATTTTAATAAAACATTGTGTAGGGAGAATTGAAAAATAAGGTGCTCGTGATTATGGGAGTGATTAGTCGAATAAATACCGAACGTAAGGTATGTGATACTTGGAAGTATCTATGGATCGTGAAATTTGTTTTATAAACATAACGTGACGCTTTTAATATATTTTTAATTTATCGCGTATACAATATTGAAATTTGTTAAAATGTTTTAATATATCTCACACGTGTGTAAAATATTTTAAATGTTTGTGATTATTCGATCATAGTATCTGAATGCGATAGTGAGGATTGTTTTCCCCATACTGCAGTTTAAAAATTTTGTGCGAAAAAATAATTGCTTGGAAATTTTTGGCGAATTTTTATGGAAGATTTATACTTATCGTAAATTTATGCGCGGATTTAATAAAGAATAATTTAATTATATTATCTCGGTATAATAGTTGACATATGATACAACTTATCATTTTCAGGAAAAGCGAATCCAATTACCCAGATAATTCTTACAGGTAAGTATCGATTAAAATATTTCATTATTCTGTCAACCCCTGTATAAACCCTGCTTAATCAGTGCTTTCAAAAGCTTAGCGCGATCAATCTTTTTAAACTGTCGTGTATTATACTTGTGCATTCATTATATCTGTCACGTCACTGTACCTTTGGCAGCAAATACAATAGCATTAAGCATATTAACGAAGAATCGCTAATTAAAAGATTTTATCCGACATCTAATATCACAGAAATAACCAATACCATGTTCCTTCTCACATTTTTCTTTTTTTACTCGAATACAACGAAGAACCCTAATTTGCAACTAAAGAAATACACCTCAAATAGTATTATTATTATTATATTATTATTATTGTTACTATTATTGTACTATTTAAATAGTAATAGTATTATATAGTATCATTATTATATTATTATTATACTATTATTGTTATTATTATTATAGTATTTAAATAGTATTAATAGTATTATATTTGAATAGTAATATTCCAATCCAGCATCTAATATGACAGAAATAAGCAATATCATATTCCTTCTCCCATTTTTATATATATATTTTTTTTATACTTAAATACAGCAAAGAAGAACCCAAATTTCCAACTAAAGAAATACACCTCAAATAGTATTATATAGCATTATTATTGTATTATTATTGTTATTATTATTATGCTATTTGAATAGTATTAATAGTATTATACTGGAATAAAAATATTCCAATGCAACACAATAGACAAAATAAAAATTCATGCACCACAAAATACACTTCTACCGAAAGAAATCTGAAAATAGCTGTCAAGATAGGAGCAAAAGTACCAAAAAGAGAAACCAATCCGTTCATCCATCATCCGCAACGAATTACCCTTTGAACCGTCCAGCTAGCTATTTCCAAAATCCCGCTTAAACCTCCGGGTCCATTAACGATCCAAAAATCGAGGGGAAAAAGATTGACGGTATCAGAGAAATGAAGAAAATTCTCACCGTTCAAGCTCCTCGGAGTACTCGATCTTGTCCCTAATGGAGCTGGTCAAGCTGTGCGCGGACTTCTTCCTGTTCCCATTGATCCTGCCGTTCTCGAGATCGAACTTGTGCTGCGGGATATTCTCCGCGCTGCCGTGGTTGCTTCCGTGCTGCAGTATCGATTTGCCGCGACCCTGATCGGAATTATGCTCAGAGCTAGCGCTTATGCGCCGATGATGGTCAAAGCTGGGATTATCCATGCCGAGGATCTGATCGCTAATGGAGACGCGTCTCTTGGCTAATTCCTCGGTCGACCTATTCGTTCTGCCGCTCATGTCGATCTCCATATCGTGTCTCCGTGAACCCAAGAATTAACCGAGGACGTGCATGCAGGGGCAAGCAACGATTCCAGGTGATTCACCCCGACCACCTTAATTTCCAGATACGCGAGCGTGATATCGACGGAGACACTCGGACGCGTAGCTCGTGTCGATCGAATCGCCAGTATAGAATCGGAGAGACTGTCAAGCGTCACCGATGTCGGATACCAATCCTCGGAAGATGGACTGGAACGGTTCTCGATGAGACAGGCTACGTGAACTTCTCGATGTTTCGCAGCACAGAGGCGAAAAGATCCAGCTTGGCCACGGGGACCCGACAGACTTTCAGGCTCCCCGTTGGAACGCAGGGATGTTTTTGCTTCGCGAAGTCCTCGATCCCACTGAAGCAACGCGAATCCATGTACCCAAAGTGGAGTTGGAGTTCGGTCCGTGGAAAAGTCGCTTCCGTAAAATCCTCCGACTCCTCGAATGGGATTCTCCGACGAGCTGACCGACGAGTCCGTAGTCTCGAAAAAGCAACGAAACGCTTTTATATCTAGGCTGCCAGGGGTACAAGGATGCTTTCAGTCGACTAGGTTGGATTCGCGATCGCGAAGAATAGAAAAGAAAAATTGCAAGCGCGTATACCGACGAAAGATGAGAGCGAAGATCGGGAAGGAGCGGAACCGGAGCGAAACGAGCTAGTCGCGATCGGCTTTCCTCGATTGACTGCCAATGGAGACGGCGCGGTTCACGAACACAGCCCGACGTCTCCCTGTCGATCGTTGACAGTGTGCGGAGTCGCGTGACGATGACTCCGAGAAAGTCCAAACACGATGATCCCTGATCGTTGATTAACGATCACGCGGCTGATAGGGGAGCCGGCTCGATCGTTAACGGAGTCGCGTGACTCTTTGTTTTTCCAGGGAGACGCGCTAACACCTCGCGCCGATATCTCCACGACTGCTTGACGTCTTCGACACCTTGACCCGCTTTTACCGCCGCGATCCTCACCGCCGACGCTCTCCGCCTAACTCGCTTCCCCTGCGTCGGTATTCCTCTGCTCTTCCCGAGCCGGACGCGTCACTGAGCGTCCAGCTGCTGGACCTATTACTCGTCCAACTGTCAGAGACACACCTATGACTCTCTTGTTGCCACGGCTACCGAAACCAACTTTGCCAACGAAACTGAACAACCTCCGATCACCGCACAGACTCTCCACTGTTAACCAAACCTATCACACTCTTT